CGGCGAGTTGAGACTGTGAGCCCATGCTCAACTGCTCTCAAAATTAATATCAAGCTGGAGACACGTCGGCAGGAATTCAAATCAGAGCTGCTTAGTTTAAAATCGGCTTAGGCGTATGAATTGTCTGCTGAACAAAACATGATATGAGGTGGAATGAGATGAGTAAATTTAATAGCTACTAGCTAGGCATTGGTATGTGTTCGACCGGACTTATAATGTATTGCAGAATCATAACATCTTCGGCTTGAACTTTATGTCCGGGGAATTTATTTGGGTGAAATATGAATCGGATTTATAACCAAACTGGCCCATTACAAAAGAAGTGGACTCGGATTGAAGGATGATTCTAACAGAACGAGTGTAAGACCGACGAGGATGAAATATTAGTGAAAACTAGCGCTCTCACTCAGAATAGATTATCAGTAGGTCAAAACTCATCGGACACCGATAGCAATCTCACGAGGACTCACCCACCTACTCCCGCTGACGCCACTTTAATCACAGCTTACAAATGCAAGATACTAGGACAACTTTAATTTGAGATCAGCGTATATTGTGCAATAACACTGTCATTCAACATCGCGCTCAAGTTATATCGGGGCAGATCTCCGCGCGCCCTTTGTCCTGACTACACTTATTCAAAAATGTGTTCAGCGTTTGCATATCCGCCGCAGGACAATATCACAGTCCGATTTTCTCAAGACAAAATATTACATCGCGTATGTCGGAGCCCATGCAAGCGAGACTTGCAACATGCGTCTCATCGTAAAACGTGCGACTGAGCGATTTTCCAAAATGTATTTAACTAGGTGATAGTTTGTTGGCTGATAGCTATCGCCAGCCGCGTTGTTTCACATATTATACGCAACGCGCGTGATGCGCAATGGCAGATTCATCATGGAATCAAAAGGGGGAGGGGTAAGTTTCCAATGCCTCACCTAGATCTGAGTAAATGCTATAAAGGCGGGTAGTAAGACTTCCGGGCCGAATCAACAGCCGACGACTGTTGAAGATGTTTAGTTATATCGGCTATGGTAAATTATGCTTAATAAGGTAGTTAGCTGAAGTAATTAAGCGCCAGAATTACGTTACTGGCTGTATAAACTGTACAACTGACTGAGCATACGCAACATTTGTAGTTGATTCCGCTTCAACAGAATACAACCCGACTCCGCCTCATGGCACAATATTCAGAATAAGACTACAACCGATAGCACGCTGGTGCCATTTGGACTCTGCCTCCGAGCAGACTGTGTAAATTTGAGTCGACTTCGATTTTGACTCAAGGAGATGATATGCCACGGTAGCTTGCTCTTTAATGACATCGACTTCGTGACTACATTTTTGGAGACATGCCATTCCACGTCCTTCATAAAGCCTGTCACAGCGCGTTTTTAAGACCCCAAAAATGAGTCACGCTGTGTTCCATTTACCGCACCTATAAAACTTGTGAGAATAAGCACATGGGACTGTGCTCTCAATTATGTCCAGTCTGGAGTTGTGTCGGTTCATCAGTAATTCCAGCCAATAAGTACCAGCCAAAACCGCTGCAGTGGCCTTGGGCGGTCCGCTTCCTTTAAGGAGGGTCGCAGGTTTTGCGGACATCAAGGATGGCAGATGACAGCGACGAGACCGTCTGCACTGTGCTATAGTTTGGGATGAATGTATTATCAGGAAACCGATCGATGCTGTCTGCCATCGATTGAATTGGATGTGTTAGAGCTCGCGCGAGGATGGAGCGCACCGAATTTTTGTGATGAGCTCGTCGATTAATATACCTAGCACCTCTTTCCGAAGTCCGAACCATCATGGAGGTACGCGGCAGAGTCCCTAACATGACATTTTAGGTAACTGTCGCAGTGGGGGACCCAAGACTGTTCACTTCTCAACGAGCCCAATGCCTTACATGACACAGACCAATCAGCCAAATCGACGTTCATTTCTCGAGTGAGATCATTCTCTTCCTCGACTGGATCCGATGCGAGGTTCCGACTCCATGCGTCATACCCGAGTGCGATCCCAGCGGTTTGACTGGCGCTTGGAAATCGACTGAGCAGCTTACAAATCAGGCGTTGGTATCGCCACGAATATTGAACAATACATTTTTTCATTCTGGTCGGCTCTCATGGCTATATATGAGGAGAGCTTCCTGTCGCTAGTCGTTACCAAGTCATCGAACTTACTCAAGGTCTGCGAGCACCCGTGAACGACGGGGCGTCGGCCTCTGGCAGCTAATCCGCGTCGCGTGGTCGGCTGTGGTGACGTGACCTGCAGCATCGGTGTTCGAGGGCCATCCGCTTGCGTACGATGACCCGCGCAGCACGCTGAGACCAACTCAGAAGCTAGGCCGAACCCAATCCGCGGTAATTGCTAGCCATGAAGTGTTAGAATAATGCACCGTCGCGGTGTTACCTCAAAAACAATCTAAAAATTGCGATGAGGTGATGAGGTGTTTTATCCCCAATGGCTTGAGACCTATTTTTGGTCATTAGTGATCGACGCTGATAGGGACATTTGCAGGTGATTGTGAAAACGTTGAACCGGTTGGCAATGTTCAAGGGGAAGGTGTATAGTGTAAGGGTGGTGTTGAACTTTTGCAATTTATGAGCAGGGAGATGGTCAGCGAATGGTGAGAATTCATATCATATTTGTATTCCATATTTTTATTATTTCATATTTCATATTTTATTTCACATTTCATTTCATATTTTTATATTCTCCATCATATTTAGTGTGTGCGACGGCGGAGAAAGGGGGCTTTGAGTAAGTAAGCAATTGACGAACCCAGCCTTTAGCTGTTGGATGCTTTGACAAATAAATAAATTAGTTTTAGGTAAGCGATATTTCACGAGAGCATATCTTGATCATTAAATGCAAATTTTAAAAACTTGTATGTAAGGATATAATATTAATTGTTGCAAGCTAAGAGCGCAGGGACATCTTAAAGGTAAAATGTCTAAAGATGCCAAATCCTTTTCGTAATCGTTCGTTTCATGCATCATTCCAGGGTGTCGTGGCGTGCTTAAGTTTTATGTCAGGTGCGAACAATTGAAAAGTTGTATCCAGAGTGATATCGATTTGAATGATATTATTGAGTTTAAAAATTGATTGGTGAGGCTCTGAGTTAAAAACTTAGCGATTTCTAAAATGCCTTATAGAACATTAATAGGTCATATACCACTTCCATCTGTTGAAGAAGTATTCCACTGGCTCACAAATGAAATTAAGGGTCATTCTTTAAATGTCAAAATACGTCGGCCAAGGTATTACAAATTACCACTGTTGTTGTTCAGCGTACAAGACAGTTGCATGCTATGATTCTCGTCCTGAAAACCAAGGAGGGGCAAAACCTTGGGCTACTAGTCAAACACGCATTGTTGAGGTCTTCTTAAATAGCTTTTCTTATATCAGATAAAAGCAACAAGTTCGGTTTTTCTCGAATCAAAATTGTGCGCCCTTTTCATAAGACATAAACAGAACCTGCAGCACTGTAAAACTCTGTGTTAGAGAGCCCACAGGCTAAACGTTAGGTTTTGGTAGCTGTAGCCTTAGAAAGCGGGGGTGGGTAAAAAAATAAAGTACAAGTACATAACTCAGTAGCTTCACAGCCCATGCGTTTTCGCAAATAGGAATTGCAAACTATTTCTGTGCAAACAAAACAAGCATCCTGAGACGCACATTTGTTCTGCAACACATGTTCTTGCCACAGAGAGACATGACCTTTTCAACAAAAAGATCTGTACACAACACAATAAAAAAGATGCGAAGGAAATTGGCAGATATCAGAAGAAGAACACCAAACAAAAAATAGTTTTATCTATTCGTAGCTCACAGTTTATTTTCATTCACGGGAAGGATCACTGATTTTACGTACCGAATCCCGTTTACATTTTGGGTCGCAAATTTGTGGGAGAAAGGCCAGGATGATTTGTTTAGATCCATTTGCAAAATAATCCGTTAATCCAGTTCCAGATCGTGGGTTCGGGGATGCTTTGCTGCACAGGCCCCTTCCCGGTTGGAAGCATAACCACTGTTACAGTGCTGGTTAAGCCTATTGTTTTACAAACATTTTCACATACAAGCATGTGTAATTTGCGCCATAAGCCCTTATACATCTCACTTTTTCGCGTTTATCCATCCTTTGGGGACCACGCAACGCACCTTGATAAGTACAGTCAGCTTACGGAACGACAAATGACATTGATATATTGACAACAAATGACACGTTACATTGATGTGTATTTCCCTGATTGGTACATATGCGCATCATTATTGTCTTCCTGTCTCTCAACACGCACGTGGGACCAGCCCTGAGCCCATGTTCAGTATACAGCGGTGCGCCTTCGGCTTCGAATTGCTTGGTCGGCATGGCTGGAATGTTCAAATGAGTGTACGTGTTCCGCTGCCAAGTCGACGTCTCATCCGAGCCGTCCCCAGCGCGCCAACTCTGGTATTCTTGAGGGAAAGCCGACATACGATGATGCATGTAATGGGTGCCTGGGAATGCGGACCTTCAAAATTATCATCTTGGTCCAATATAAAGTATGTAAAAAGGTGCCGCAGGAAACAATTTATTAGTTTGTAACATATTGCACGATAAAATGGGTTGAACAGATCGCGTAATAAAAGCAAACAAAAACAACAACGCAAAGGCGGCTCGGCATAGGTTGCATATGATTGTGTCGTGTTGCACGCAGAAAGTTAAAGCAAACGTCCTCTGCTCCTGCTTGACAGTGGAGCCAGCTTAAAATCGAACACCCGCACCGAGCACCAAAATGTTAGTCTTATTAGAAAAATGTCAAAAGCACAGAACGGTGATGCAGTCAGGGCGGCGCAGAAAGCAAACGGGAACACACCGGTGGGGACGACGGGGTCGCACACGGGAACAGCGGCACCACGACGGGCACTGTCAACAGTAGCGGCATCTCACGTCAGCGGGCGCGCGCTGCCGGCAGCCCGCGCCCACCGCCGGCGGCGCTTCAATCCCCCCCCCCCCCCCCCCGACACGTCAGGGCAGGACACGGCCACGCCTGGCGCTGCAGGGACGCACCGGCTTCCGAGGCGTCTGCCTCCTGTCGACACTGGGATCAGGAGAACGGAACGGAAGCCGTAGGAAGTGTTCGGCGGCATCAAACAAAGCTCTGTGCGCATTGAGTTTCATGGTGGCCGCCGAAAATATCGTGGTTTGGGCATTGACTGGTGTTAAGCGAAACGAAGTTCAACGATTGACAAGTGAAATGAAGTGCTGTTCCGTAAGTCGTGTGGCTGCGTGTTTTAAACGCATGCCTGGCACCACCATCAGGTAAAGGATGCATGTGCTTTAAACAGACAGTCAATCATCGAAAGCTGCAGCGGCCCTGACAGACCATGTGGACCGGATCGCCTGGCGTGCGTGTCCTCGCCCTTACGTGTTTGTCCACCCATAAATAACGGTGGTGCCGAGAAAGTTGTCGGACAGCCGTTGTTGGCACAATGCTCTTTGTCCTGGACACCCATAAACGCCGCATTCAAAAGGCAAAAAGCGGTACGGGCAAGAGGACTGGGCACAGGTGGAGCTGGGACCTCGTTTGCTCGCCTTTGCCCCAATTCCACTGCGTTCTCGGGAGACCCAGCCTTCGCAGGCAGGCCAGGGTGCTACGAATCCATGCCAGGAGGACGCCAGAGCCAGACATGGTCGCTTGCTTGTTGAGGGTCTTGTCAAGACGAGAGGTCTGCAAGCGCTGCCAGGCCCAGCGGCTACGGTTTGTCGAGTTTCGCAAGGCACTGCTCTTGTTTGAGCACAAGCGTTGTGTTCGAATAACGCTGACGCAAGTACTAGCGCCAACGCAAGGCTGGAGAGAATCAGCGCCTTGCCCCGGCCAACTTCAAGCGTCTAATAAAGAAAGATTGTTCAAAAGTTGCAGTGGCGGAGTCCTCAGGCCCATTCGACGTTCATATTAGAAAACTCGCGCGACGCGGAGATATCGGGTATGGCTCGTACGTTTCAGCCGGGACGCCTCCCAAACTTGGGCGCCGTTAGGGGGTCAGTTTCCCCGGCGACCGGCAAGCGTGCCGTCCTCCGCGGCGCCGCGCGAGCCCCGCCGCCGCGCGCCGATCACAGGACTGTCGCGGGGCAGATGCCTCTGGCTGACTCCGGCTGTCACCCCGACGTCTCCGGCTCCTTTGTTCGCAGTCCATGAGACGGGGCACGGTGAACTCAGCTCTGCTGCGCCACAGGGCTGCCGTTCACAAGGTCAGGGGCCGCAGACAGCATCGCTGACCCCTCCGTCACTGATGACCCCTGCGGACACACGAGAGGCACAAGGTCAGGGGCTTCAGTCAGCACTGCTGGTTCGTCGGTCACTGATGACCCCTGCTGGCACACGAGAGGTCAGGGGCCACTGTCACCGCTGCTAACCCCTCTGTCACCGATGACCCCTGCGGGCACACGAGAGGTCAGGGGCCACTGTCACCGTTGCTAACCCCTCTGTCACCGATGACCCCTGCTGGCACACGAGAGGTCAGGGGCCACTGTCACCACTGCTAACCCCTCTGTCACCGATGATCCCTGCGGACACACGAGAGGTCAGGGGCCACCGTCACCGCTGCTAACCCCTCTGTCTCCGATGACCCCTGCTGGCACACGAGAGGTCAGGGGCCACTGTCGTCGCCGCTAACCCCTCCGTCACCGATGACCCCTGCGGACACACGAGAAGCTCACGCAGAACTCTCACCCAGCGCCGATGATAGTTCGTTCACTATGGACTGTCGCGATACACATAGGCTCATCAGATCGCAACTCATGTTCATCTTCCAGGGCGTTAAGCTCGCTGACTCCCTTGGGGAGCGCACAATTACACAGAGGTACTGCTCTGGTCTACAGCAACATTGCACGATTCCGAACCATCCAGGGCAGCACCGTAATCGCTTTGCCAACAGTTCACTACTCTGCACCAGCCATCTGGTCTTCAGGCGGGAAGCACGGGAACGGCGATAAGGTGGTGACAGATATAAGTTCAGGAGAGGGTGTTTGGCATTTCGATATTGACTGTGACATAAATCACAAGGGCCTAACATTTTGACATGACTCCTCTTTAGAAAGCCAGTCAGGTTCTCAGTCCGAGGACTCAAACTCATAGCCATCAGCTATTGATATGAGGGCCCAGCACATAACCTGCCGGTCGCAGCGTCATATTTTTCCCAAGCGCAGCTTCTGTTCCATCTCATCTCTTTCCCGACACGTGTGCTATTGCTGCCATTTCCGGTGCTGCTGCGAAATCTGTCCCGTGACGGCGACAGCGCGTCAGCTACACACAAAGCGGCTGCGGGCCATAGCCGTCGTAGGCAGCGTGAAATGGCTGATGACTATCGGGTGTTGACGTCGACCGCGCCTGGGGCACTGCGTCCTGTCGCCTGCAGCGTTCCTGCTTGCGTGCTTCCTGCCCCGTTAGTACCGTTGGCCGGCATTGTTCTGCTGTCTGGTGCATGAGGTGCCCGTTTGTGTTCGCTACCGTCGTGGTGGCGGCAAACAACACGCGCTGCTGTCTGCGCTGTCAGTTCCTTAAGCGGCCAGACGGGCTGCCTGCTGTCTGCGCTGTCAGTTCCTTAAGCCGCCAGACGGGCTGCCTGCTGTCTGCGCTGTCAGTTCCTTGAGCCGCCAGACGGGCTGCCCGCTGTCTGCGCTGTCAGTTCCTTGAGCCGCCAGACGGGCTGCCCGCTGTCTGCGCTGTCAGTTCCTTGAGCCGCCAGACGGGCTGCCCGCTGTCTGCGCTGTCAGTTCCTTGAGCCGCCAGACGGGCTGCCTGCTGTCTGCGCTGTCAGTTCCTTGAGCCGCCAGACGGGCTGCCCGCTGTCTGCGCTGTCAGTTCCTTGAGCCGCCAGACGGGCTGCCTGCTGTCTGCGCTGTCAGTTCCTTGAGCCGCCAGACGGGCTGTCCGCTGTCTGCGCTGTCAGTTCCTTGAGCCGCCAGACGGGCTGTCCGCTGTCTGCGCTGTCAGTTCCTTGAGCCGCCAGACGGGCTGCCTGCTGTCTGCGGCGGCTGACTGTCACGCTCGTCACGTCCGCTCTGCTATCGGGGGGCCGTTGGGCTTTAAGTCCGCCCACCTGGGGTGACCGGGGTTCGTGTTTATTGACTCCCCCGTGGCGCAGCTGTTGATAAACGTCACGTGCGGAGGTCTGTGGCCACTGAGATTCACATCCGCTGTGTCTGCTGCCCCGGGCACCACCGGGCACGCGACAGCACAGCCTCGACGTCTGCAGTGATTCAAGCGCGCCGTGCCTTCAGCGGTGAGCGAGTCGTCTCAGGTGTAACACTGAGACGCTAACCTGCTGACTCACACTAATGGCACCTGCAGCGTGACGGTAATGCCACCGCCCTGCTTTCGGCGACTGTGCACGGAGTGCCTGTGATGTGTGGTGACCGTGGATGGAGACAACAGACGCTACTGGCCCTGCGAGCACTCACGTTTGTCGTGTCGGCCGCCGCGGGGGTGCCGTTGAGCGCGGCCGAGTCGTGTGAGCCAGCCTCCTTCACCTCGGCGTCCGGGAGGCAGGCGCCCGAGCTCACCGTCTCCGGACGTGAGTCCTGCCGCCACAGAGCAGCAGGCGTCAGCGACCACACATCGGGCGTCAGCGACCACAGAGCAGGCGTCAGTGATCACAGAGCACAGGTCAGCGACTACAGAGCAGGCGTCAGCGACCACGGAAGAGGTGTCAGCGACTAAAGAGCAGGCGTCAGCGAGGCAGATCTCTGCTGATACATGTATCTACGCGTTTGACCGACGAGCAGGGGTCGGCATGTACTAGTTGATAGTTGTACCAGTTCAATACTGGTCATATAGGACATCGATCATTAAAAAGAACTGAGCTGTCATTCATTTCTACCGAACGACTCAAAAGGCAGCTAACAAGGAGAGCGCACTAAGCCAACAGTGGGACTGGTTTACACCGCTTTCACAGTTCTCCTTCGCTGGACGAGAAGAGACCTCGGGCCGCTGCGTTGCCAAATGCTAACCATACTAGAGCTTAACAGGAAGCGGCATATGGGAACTCTCGTAAAGCAGAATGGGCTTGGTAGTATTCATGCAATGATTTATTCTTAAGATGGCATTGCAAGATCCTGTTCCAGCGAGAAAACCAGGTCAACGCCAGTGAGGTAAATTTTGCGGATTTACATCAGGTCTGTCCTAGGAACCATAGCTGTGAGTGGGCACTGTGTGACAGTGGTGAATGCGGGGCTAATTAGACATCGTTTAAATACTGTTATGTAGACATTGATGCGCTATACCATGTGATGATAACTCTCCACCGGCGGATAAGACCCAAAGCATGTTAAATCAGGTAAATGAGGGTCTAGTCATGCCCAATGCGCGCGATCCCTCTTCATATATGTCAATATCTAAGCAAAAGGTATTGAACACCATTTGTCAGGTTGAATCACATGTCTACCATTCAGTTCAAAATTACGTAAGTTAAGTGCATTTGTGAGGAATATCATTCACATAGATAAAACAGCAGAAGTAGCCTTATTCCTCGCAGAAAAACCAGGAGGATGGAGATACGTTGGTATTTCGTCAACCTGCCTTTATCGAAAAAGTAGCAGAAGTCTGATAAAAATAAAGGTAAAGGCACCAATGCATCTGTAGCTCCATTCTTCTGGTTTTTCTCCGAAGAATAAGGCTATTACTACTGTGTTATCTATGTGAAACACATGTCTATTAATGCAGCCTAGGGGCTCACATTTTATGCAATCGCATCCTCATGTGTCATGATGATGTGGCAAATTATTACTGCACTGTGCCGTATATGTATAGCATACGACATTCCTCTGTGCACCTTTTGTTATATGTTTCTTTCGGTGCGTGGTAAATCTGAGCAACAGGGTAAATACAGTGCCTGGGATAACTAAAAAATGTAATAATCCTTAATGTCGTGCCCAAGCAGATTACGTATTGTTCTTTCACATGACTGCTCACCGCTTCATAAATTAAAAACAGAGCACCCATTCTCCACTGGCTGCGCATGTATAATCTAGCAGGCCCTCCTCACTCGGCGACGCTGTTAATCCACGTTTATAGTAAAAGTGGCGCCCAAAGCTCTACGCAGTCACTACCGCAAAGTGTTCTTCATCGCGATAATGAAGAGCTTGACTGTCCGCTGTGCGAGTGGTGCCATGGTTTCGTTCCGACGCCGTGAGGTCCGATGTGTCCACGCATCTGAACCAACGCGCGAGACTGACCGTGAACCAGCACTGGTGCACGCCCCCGAACATGTCACCAACGCTCCATCCCGCCACCGCACAGGGTGGGGATGGGGGGGGGGGGGGGGGCTCCAGCTGCCTCTGACAGTCTGGAGGAGGCTGCAGCTGCCGACAGCGCCGGCGTCGATCCCGCCCATTGGAGGAGGTGTTCCATTAAGGCGCGGCCGGCCGTGCGGTACGCGTTGGTCATTGTTCCCGAATCAATAAGCAATCTTGTCGAGCCGACAGTCACGTGCCACGCATCCATCGCATGCAAACCGCGCGCCTGTCCGGGCGGCGCGCCGACGCGCCCGAGGGATGGGCCGTGCAGCTGCGCCGGCCGGCCCCGGCGTCGACGGCACGCGGCCCGCCGGCGGACCACCGCTGCCGGCCTCTCCCAGGCCCGGCGGGACCCCGAGCCCTGGAGAGCCACGTCCACAGCACATGCCCGTCGCCTTTACGGTTATGTATTGACGGTGCATCCAGTGCAGGTGGAGCTAGAAGTCGACCGCAGATCTCCTCACATTCATTCAGGTGTATGTCGGAACGTTTGACGGAGGAACTCAACTCTGCCCATTAGCGCGTATGAGTTGTGGGGGCATGGGATTGCATTTATATCGGGCTCGTACGATTTCGAGTCTGGAGATATTTCTCACTGTTGTGCATATTGCTCTCCACAACACTGCGCCGTAATGTGGCGGGAGAATTACCGTGCAGCATTGCATCATCCGTCTCCCGGTCTGCCTGCTCCATCCCCGCACAGATATTTTGTGTCATGCAGCGACAAATACGCATCAATCCACCTCCAAATACCTAGATGCCAGCAGCTGACTGATCTCAAAAGCGTCCGTGGCTCTGGGAAGTCTTGCGGTCTCGCAGTTTATCTGCCGATGGCAGCACTTAAGGGACTCAGCAGTGTATCCACGGTAGCACCCTGGGTGCGCCCTCGGGTTCGTTGGCGTTTGGTTCCCACCCAAAGCCGTGGTCTATACCACTCCCTACTCCTTCTATCTTTGTTCACGACATGTCGTAACCCTTACTCAGCCTATATTACCATTTACTATTGATCATGGCCTTCATTGTTCCAAGGCTGTGACCCCTGTTTTCACCCCTGGCAGTGACTCCCTATATCACAGCAGGCTGTGACCGCTGTATGCCCCCCGGCTGTGACACCCTGAAATCGTCTGCGGCCGTGGCCTCCGGGTGACGGACGTTCCATAGATAGCGACCTGGCGGCGGACAGCCGGCCGACACACGGCCAGAGTCGACAGTGGCCGTTGGATCTGCGCTGTCGCCAGGCCTCTGAGGTCGTCCACGGCTGGACAGCCGACCGCAGCGGCTCCGACGGCCGACACACAGTCAGGGTCGACAGCGGCCGCCGGCCGCCCGCTGTCGCCGAGCCTCTGAGGTCGTCCACGGTTGGACAGCCGACCGTGATAGCTCTGGAGGCCGACACACGATCAGGGTAGACAGCGGCTGCCGGCCGCCCGCTGTCGCCGGGCCTCTGATGTCGTCCACGGCCTCAGACCATGATGGCTGACCACCAGCCGGAGGCCGACACACGATCAGGGTTGACAGTGGCTGCCGGCCGCCCGCTGTCGCCGGGCCTCTGACGCCGACCACGTCCGACCACGGCTGGACAGCCGACCATGATGGCTCCGGCGGCCGGGCCGGGGCCAGCAAACCCAGCCGTAACTGGGCCGGTCAGCCGCACCCACCTCAGCCCGCCAGTGAAGGACCGCGTCAGGCCGGCCCGGCTGCCGCTGGCGCATGGCATGCTCGCCCACTCTGGCTCGACGTGGCGGAGTTCAGGGGTACAGCTTCGATACCTCCCGTGCTCCTGCCCACGCAAGATCGCTTAACGGCCCACTGACAGAATGCCAGCGGTGAGACAATGACCTGACATATAGAGCAAACAGGCGGAGATGACCACATCAGCAGGTGTAGAATGCACCGGCCTATTGAGGTACCTTCTAGGTTATGCCGTGACGTTATTGGAATAATGTGATGGCCAGATTCATGACTCACCTTGACGTGGTTTAAGAAAGCAAGTGGTAACGGGAAAAAATGTATTTCAATGACAGCCGTAATGGCCACGGCAACGCTTGTTTTATAAATAATCAAGTGGTTGTATAATTTACTTGAGACATCTCCGCTAATTTCAATAGGAAGTCCTGCGCGGAAGGCGTTTCTGGACCAATTACTCGCAAGTAAAACTAGAAATGTCGCGGGCATTGAGCATGGCTTTCGTAGTACGCAAACATTACCCAGCTCTAGAGCCTGCCAAGTTTTGCCTTTGAACGTGAGCCTTTTTCGCCCCCACTTTGTATGCAAATGGGCGTTTTAATAACGTTAGGAAATGTTGTGAATTCCATTTCAGAGCACTAGTCGCTAACTGTGGTCCATTACAACAGCTGAACAATCATTAAGCTAATGCATCGTGTTTCAGCAAAGGCACTGTACCAGACGAAAAATTAGCAGGGGTATCAATTATGCCTTATTTGGCTGCAGCATACATGTTTGTTCTGTACTGCACTGTGGCTGATGTTTTTAATTTGAGACCTAAAGTTCAGGTTTAATGTGAGCTTCCGTTTCCAGCTGATAGCCAGCCTGCGTCACGACCCACTCCTGCCCCAGGTCATTCTGCACATATCGGCCATTTACCCGTCACTGGGCCTCGACGCCGGCAGCTGCTCACCCAAAGCGGAGCTACTTTCTATTCACTGCAGAGAGCGTCAAGTCCACTCATTGGAAGTGCGATCCGGTGTGTTCTGGCCGTCGATCACCCAGTCCGTCCCGATCTCCGCCGTCCTGTCCATGGGGCCCACATTGATCACGTCTTTGGTCGGCCTCTCCAGCAGTCCACCTACGTTACCGCATTTCCGTCCCTCTCCTGCATCATAGCGGCGTTGTCACGCCTGCTGTGTCCACTGCTCCGTCACGCTCCACTCCAGCGGTCGCTTCGCTCTCTCCACCAGCTAGTGTTTCCGCCTGGTCCGTCCTCAGCGCCTCGTTGTACGCTGTGTTCTTTGTCTCTCCGTGCCCTGCGCCGTCAGCCCTGTCCGTGGACTGCCCGGTGGCCGCCCTGCCGGCGCTCTCCCGCCCTCCCCGCCCAGTCCGACCGCAGTCCTGTTCGCCGCAGGCCGCGCCTCTTTAATTGGCGGAGATAGCGCGGACGCCGGCTGGCCGGCCCATAGCAGGGCTATCGACGAGCACCGCCGCCCCTGTCGCCACTGGGCCCCGACGAGCGCCGCCGCAGGACAAAGGAACGGCGCGCGCCGTGTGGTGGAGGTATGCCTCAACACCACCATATGGCCGCACGCCGTTTGCATTGCAATTCAGACGGC